TGGACATACAGATGAGTTTACACATCAGATTACTGACTGAAATTTATTTGTATAAATTATTAGTAGGAGTTGGAGGAGGAGGAGATGGAGGACGAGTCTATGTCAAACAACACTCAATTCTTTTATTTCTGAAACAATATTTTCCTTAAATCTATTCCACGCATATACCCTTTATATTGATGCTTAATTGATCACCACTGGTATGAAGATATCATATTTACAACCATCATCCACAAAGAAATTCCTCCCTAAAATCCAATTATTTTCAAGTGTTTTTAATTTAGTTAGTTCCCCACAGCCCTAATCAGGAGCAGAAACAGGTACACAACATCGTAGCGATTTCCATATAAAGAAAGTTTCTCTTCCACTAGAAATCTATAAATAGAAAATGTCTCTTATAAATAGAAAATGACATTTTTAAAAGTGTCCTACTCTCCAGATTTTGTTAGCAAAATTTTCTTCAGCTTCTTTCTACCAAATACAAATTTTTACTCCTCCACTTTCTATATTACATGACTTTCATTCTGCCAGGTAAAACAAATGTTTCAGGTAAAAGAAATCATAACAGTTTCTCACTAAAAACCAAGTACTTGATTATTAATTAGAAAATGCGGGTACTTAACACAATTTTGTCAATTAAGGAGTGTCTTGATTAGGTTCAATTTCTATTTTTCTCATTTAAAAATGACTGTATACTAATGTATTTGACCTACTTCATTTTTAAAATCAATCTACAGGTAAAATTAGATGATAAGGACGGGATTCTCCTAATTTTTGGGAGGGATCATGATTTTTCTTCTTACATACCTGAATTATTAATATAACCATAATTAATTAAATTGATTGATAAGATTCATAATTAATTGTTCCCCAGGGAAGATTAATGGAGAACAAATGTCTCTAAATCTTGAGATAGCAATAAGAGAATGAATAAAATGATACAAGATATAATCTCATATAAATATGCTGGACAATGAGGTATAGTAGGAACAAAAAAAGCTAGTAAAGAAATACTTCAAACATTCCATCAAATTAGTAAAGGAAAGATTTCATGAGTGAATTAAAAGGAAATATTAAAAATGAGTAGGGCTGAAGGTATAGCTCAGTAATTGAACACCCATACATACAGTGACAGTAATGTTTCCAAGGGAATTTATATAGTTATATATGTTTAAAAAGAGTTAACATTTTAATAAAATATTTAACTTTATAAAGTTAGAAAAAAAATCAAATTAAACTGAGAGTGGCAAGAACATAACAAGACATAAATTGATATTAATAGGCCAGAAATCAGATAGTAAAAATATAAACTTATAAAGCCTATACTTTGTGTTATGAAAACTAATAAAATGAGTAAAGCTTTAAGAAAACTACCAAGAAAAAGAAGTATGGGCCAGAAAGATTATGTCAGGTATTAGTACATAGACTATGTACTAATACCAAATTGATCATATGAGGGTATTATAAACAATTTCACTATACTATATTGAAAAATGTATATATAGTTGATAACTTCTAAAAAACACAAAAGGATGAATAACAACAAATGAGAAATAGCTGGTTCTAAATGACTCTGAACTCAAGGAAAAATAATTAAACACTCATGCCCAGATGATTTCACTTTGAATTCTAAACATTTAAAGAAGTAAAATCCCCTGTTCCAATCTTCATGACCTGATGAAGGTGGTCTGACCCTTTGGCCTGGGTCTCTCAACCCAACCCAGCCTGCCTTCAAGAGGTGGTGTCTCTAATGGCCACAGATACATCCTGGCAGGAAAATAGTGGCTCCCCACACCTAAGGTTCATTTCATTAGGGCCCAGGAAGGCAAGAAGCCCTGTCAGGCAGGAAATCCGAGCACTCCTTGAGGACGTGTATATCCACAGATCTAATCCTGGGATGACTGATCTGATGCAGTGGGAGGAGGATGGACAAAGGGCTCTCAGCTGGAAGGAAAGTGGAGTCAAGATGGTTATTGGCCATAGAGACTGGTCATCCTTCTCCCTAGGAGAGGATAAATAGAGAGTAGACCGTATCTGGCAACTTAGAAAAAGCTACCACCTTTTGGAAAGCTTTACATGGCATTTGTAGAAGGCTCATGTTTATACTATGAAAAAGCCTTTCTCAACTTTCTCAGCCTTTTAAAAGAAAATGTTTGCTATATTTGGATACTGTACATGTAAAGAAGTTGCCAGTAGATGGTAAAATATAAGTAGAAATTTGCATTTCCTAATACTTATTTAATTTTTTAAAAATGCAGAATAGAAATGCCTTCTGCGAGTGACTTTTGAAATGGAGTTGTTAGACCATCTCTAGAAGTGATAAGAGGGCTAACACTCATCCATGTCTGTTCAGAGGGTTTCAGGATATGTATCAGGAGAGAGTGAGAAGGAAAATAAGAAGATCCTGAGCTTGCCTGGCCAACATATAGAAGACGTTTTTCATATTATAACCTCTGTTTTATATGTATCTATTTCTCCTGCATCACTATTACTATTACTGACAGTGCCAGATACTTTTTGGAAATATCTTATTTTTCTAGATGTTCTCAAGTGCTTGCAATATGTTAAAAAGTAAAAGTATTAAAACTACACATTTTATAAATTTCTTTTTGTTAAAATATTTGTGAAGTGTACTTTGCAGCGAGAATAGCCAGACACCCTCTTGAGTATTACAGTTGTATTTGTGTAACGATTCTTGGAAGGTAAGTAAATGCAGAATGTTGTGCCCCTGCACTTACAACGCAGCAAGAGTGACCACTGTCTATTATATTCTGCTCTTGGTAGTTTATGTAAAGGACCACAGTGTCCTAATATACAACGTCTAGTCTTCCTAGACTTTAAAGAAGTTTCCAGTGCTTGAGAAAATCAGTTAGAAGATTGATAAATTGGGTATCTTTTGTATTAAAACTCTTAGGAAAGATTGTCATGTGAAAACTTGAGCATTATAGCTACCTGGATTTGTGAAGGAAAGGATTCTATATCAGAATGCTCATATTGTGAAGACTTTCAAATTGTAACTCTTGTTACACGTTATTTAAAATTACTATGCATATAGTGTTCAAGTTCAATCCTTACTTGACGCAGCAAGCCCTCTCTATATGTCTAGAA